GTCTTCTTGAACTGCAGTAAACCTGTCTGGCCTGATATCTTTGCTGAAAGTGATCTGCTCCAACCACACCCTGCATGCACTGGCTGACCCCCAGGCTGCCACATCCCCCCCAGCCCCAACCCCTCTTGCTCCAGGTACCTGGTGGGGAGCAGAGGCTTTGGGAACAAAGTGAGACAGAGACTGTAAATACATCTTTCTACAGCTGTACTTCTGAGGCACAGGGATTTGCTGGAGCTGGGACCAGAATAAGTGAGCTTGTGCTCGAGTTTATCAGATTTGTGAAGTACAGGTGTGACAATTCTGCTACAACCACAAAAGAATTTACAACAGGAAGTGTGGCAGCTGTTGCTTATTAGCATTAGTACAAATTACATGAAGCAAATTGTTAACAGTCATGTTTCCATAATATTTAACTCATGGCAATGAATTAAAGTGATTCTTTTTCAAGCAAAATTTTAGATTTCCAAGGGAATCAAGTTCCAATTGTCCATGAATGAATTGGGGAACAGCATGCAACTACTTCAAGGCATTAGAGTCCATGTGTGCAGCTACATTCTTGCCTTCTCTGGTAAAGGTGTGTGAGTTTAGGTGTGTGAAAGGAAGGAGGATCTTGCTGACCTGCTGTTTCCCTGAATTTTTACCCTCAATGGGCTTGTTATGTCTTACTTCCCTAGCAACTCCAAGCCTTCTGATGTGAAAGCATAATACAAGCTCAAGAAGGTGGATTTGGAGACAAAATCCACACCGTAACAGACTGAACATGCAAATCACTGAAGGTTCAGACTGAAACATTGGAGTGCAACCTGCATGTGCCTGACAGGAGAATCCCCCAGACCAAATGCCTGGCTATGACACCTCTCTCCAGCCAAACCAGTTTCAAACCAGGTGAGCAGCTGGTTGCGATCCTTCCATACCCGCTGCCTTGCTGATCAGCCAGCAGCAGGCAGTCCTTTTGGGCAGCTCCTCTGCTTCTCTCCTTGTTGCTTTGGAAAGAAGTGAGCAACTGGCCCTGTGGAGGGAAGCTGTAGTTCAGAAAGGGGAAGGGCCTGAAAAGCATTTTATTTTAATTAATGAAAAGGGGGCGTTTAATTCTTGCCTGCCTTTCTGGTCCTGAGGGAGGATCTGCTGTATCCAGGCAGATGTCTGACCCTGGAGATGCTCCTCTGTGGTGTGAGCTGAGGGGTCATTCACAGGCTGCTTGAAGGACCTGGGGGATCTCCATCATAACATCTTTCTTTCAAACAGAAGCTACTCAAATTAAAAGAGAGAGTAGGCAGGCAAATAAAGAAGGCACTATCTAATTAACTGAGAGGTTTGGGTAAATTTTGGGGCACTAAGAGCTGACAGATTCCTCCCTGAGATTACGCAGCTCCCAAACAGTGCCGCCAAGGATGGGGGCATGCGGCATTCCATGAGCAGGAATGATCCATGGGGTGGCTGCGCCAGGGGGAGGAATGGCCACCCAGAGCTGCTGCAGTCAGGACTAGGCTTTGGAGGATGGTGTGTGCTCCTGCTGCTGATCCAACAGTGGCGTTCTTTCCACACAAAAAAATTATCAGCCATTTACTTGTTGTTTCACTAATTATTGCTGGTTTTGCTAATAATGTTCCATTTAATCTCTCACAGCCATCCGTTCTTTACAAAGGAAGGAAGTGTAAGTCATGAAGACTGCTGACAACCTATAGAAATTCAGCCATCAGTTTAAGGCCAGTAACAGCCCAGAGTGGTGCTTTACATGCCAGTCCCAAGGGTGCCTGCCTGCATTAATCACATTGAGCAAAGCTGCTAACGCTGCAAAGATTGCTGCACTCCTCAGCCTGCCAAGCAAGACAGTGGGCTCAGAGAGGTGGAGACATTCCCAGAGGCATTTCTTGAAATGCAATTAGGTCTGGCTGGGGAAGGAGGCATTTGCTGGTGTGAGAGAAGAGGCTGCAATGGCAGGTGGATGGGAAGGTAGCGAGGCTGAGCTGGTCAGCCACACGAGATCCAAGGAGATGGTCTGCCAGGGAGCACTGGCTCCGTGCTCCCAATACCCCATAACCACCACTCAAGCAAGAGAGGAATGGTCCCCAAGTCCTTGGACTTCGACTGCTTGCTTTATTAAAAAGAAAAAAAAAAAGTGAAAGCTCACAAAGAATTGAAACTGCCTGGGGCAACCAAAGTGCCTTTTGATCCAACTACGAGTGCTTAGAAGAAGAAAAGAGGCACATGTGTTACTTTTAAAGGTATCACACGTCCACCCACCTGTTGGGAACAGTTAAAAAATACAACTGGGTTGGCTACAGTCTGAAGGGAGAGCTGTGAAAGGAATAACAAGTGAAGTAATTTCTACAGGTGAAGCTTAAAGCAGCAGCCAATGGAGAAGCAGTTGACATGCATACTCTGGTTCTTTAGTGCCTGTTCTGAGGAAATGGCCTGACACCCTCAGCAGGGCAGAGCTGCCTAACTACCTTCTCTGATGAGACTTTAAAGATAAAAATTAGGTACAATTTCTATATTACAGTGATCACAATAATGCTTGTCTCCTAATTGCCTCTCAAGTGAAATAAAACAAAACAACATCATGCAATGAGGAATTTTTGTCATAAGGATTACTTACATGTAAAAGGACTGCACTAACTGCTTGCCCTGTGAAAACAAGAACATTAAATATCATGGCCTGGATGGTCTTGATGTACCTACAAGTTTGATATCAAATGAGATGGCACCACTGGCCATGTGCACCAGATGCATACATGAAAAGTATTTCAGGATGTTTAATCATGTGTATGAACATCATTTCCACCATGGAGTCTCTTCACACTGTCTTGCTATGACCAGCCCCTTTGGCTGTAACATCTGGGGTAGGGGCAGGGAGTGGAAGGAAGGGCTGAGACACAGAACAGGGGGGAGACACAGAACAGAATCAGAAGGCTTCTTGCTTAGGAAAATCTAGTTCTGGATTGTGTTTTTTTCCCCCACTCTCAGAACAAAATGTGAAGCTACAGATCCTCCAGGAAAATACAATAAAATGCAAAAATATTCTTGGAACAAAAATGTTCCACTTCCAAAATGTCAAAATGATGTTTTGACACTACTGAAAGCTGTAGTTTCAGTTAAATAGAATTTAATGTTAGAAAGTGACATGCTTTTATGAAGAGTTTTGATTTTGACAAAGTGGGATTTTCCAGCATTGAAGCCATCTGATAAAGTCTAACCAACTCTGATTACTGATATATTACAGCAAAGTGGGGTTTTAAGTGAAGGAATTAAAATCCCATTTTGAAAAAGGAAGAGAGGTTAACTAAGTTTTACTGTAATTATGATGGAAAAAAGATTGTTTGAGGACTCTCCAAAGGAGTTATTAGTAATACAGCAAGATTTTTACATGTTTTAGAATGTAAGAGTGAAAAATGAACTGTACAGGTTTGCTGTTGATGGAAAGTCACCTCTGCCTCAACCAGACAGCTGACCAAAGAGATTTCCATTCTTTATACCACAGACACAAACTGATGTGTATGGGTGTTGTGTTACCAGCGTTGGCACATTTAGGATTCCCTATATTACATCACTCAATGACATATATGACTTTTCATTTAATACAGTTGTTCAGCTATTCCTATTTAGGGTGTTTCAGCATGCAGACAGGATTTGCTGAAAGCTGGCCGAATCTGTAAAGATCCAATTCTGCAAATTTTTGACAAGTTTTTTAAATTAGGAGAGTAGTCCCCAGGACTTCAGTCTTGTAGGATATGGTTTCTTCTATTTTTAAGTATTTCCAGGAGTTGGCCCTTGAATGGGTATCTTTTTGTAGGAGTTCTAGTTTAGCAACATGCATCAAGTTGAATTTTATTTCATGAGGTATTTTTGGTAACATTTTTTTCTACATAAACAGGGTCAAACAATCTTGCATATTATCAGGACCCTGTTTCCCAATTCAGTTGAGCTCAGTTGAGCTAACTAGCTCTAAAATCACCTGCATGACTTACAAACTCTTGCTACCTCTCCCTGTCATGCACTAGAAGTTTCAACTGTATGGATGTGTCCCTTCATCCTTCGTGGATGAAAACAAGGACGTACTCATTCCACAGATTACTTCATCATCCTGAGACCTGTTTTGTCCCCCTCAGTTACACGGAGTGTCAATAAGCACCTTTCAGATTTGTGTAAGAGGAAGAAGTGAATTTTTAATTCACTTGACACAGAAAGTTGAACACATCTGTCTGCGTACTGAAAGCCACAGCACAATCAGGAACCAGCCCTACAGCTTTTGTCCTGGGCCTGTGCAAAGTGCAGAGATGTGCCCAGATCCTTGTGAGGAACGATCCCACCCGGCTTCCTCGTTTTTTAAAGATGCAAACAAAAACAAACCCAGAAATGCAGATTTTTCTTGGAGTGCCACGAAGTGTTCGCCAGACTGAGGCGGCTCAGGGAATGGAGCTGACAGCTGTGTGCGCCAGACACCGTGGGAGCCATCCACCCCCTCTTTGGTGTGACGGGAAACATCCTGTCAGAAACACGCTCTGCATTTGGGCTTTTCTTGAATTAATTATCTGTAAACGGTGAAGGGCGCATCCTGCTGGGAGCCTGTGATTCCTTGGCGGTATTTATGGAGGTGTTCGATAGGAGAGTCGTGACGGTCAAAGCTCATCAGACGGAAAGCACCGTAACATCAGGGCTCCAGCCACAAATCTGCTAGGGCTGCTCCCTCTAGCGAGAAAAAGTACTTTGGCTGGGGAAAAAAGAAAAGCCTTCCCCTCTCTCTTTTTTATTTTCTTTCTTTCTTTTTTCTTTCTTTTTTTTTTTTTTTTTTAATTATTTCTTCTTTTTTTTTTTTAAGTTCTTCTCTTCTCTTCTCTTCTCTTCTCTTCTCTTCTCTTCTCTTCTCTTCTCTTCTCTTCTCTTCTCTTCTCTTCTCTTCTCTTCTCTTCTCTTCTCTTCTTTTCTCTTCCTTTTTCTCTTTTTTCTCCTTTCTCCTTTCTCCTTCTCTTCTTTCTCCTTTCTCCTTTCTCCTTTCTCCTTTCTCTTTGTTTGTTTATTTCTTTAAGTGAATAATTCAAGTTTTCCAGATAGTGCAAGACATGGGGCAGTTTCAAGCAGACAAAAAGTGACCAAATGCTGCACTTTTCCAGCCCCTGAGCATGGAGAGTGGAGCTGGTGCCCAAGCAATGCAAGTCAGTGATTTCTCCTCAGAGGCAGACCCGTGGCAAGTGAGGGACTCTTGGTTTGTCTTCTAGCAGTCCTACACATATGCTGTAGCTGTGTTTGGTTTTGATTTTCCACTTCTGGTTACAAAAATAGGACTTACTATAATCATAATAATATTAATGATACAAAATAATTACTGTAATTATATACTTTTTGGCAAATTATTAACACAAAGCAGCCCAAAAGATCCCATTGGATTAAAAAAAGGTGACAATGCACAAATGTTAAAAAAGACAAAGTCTTTGATAAAAAAGAAGGAAAAGCAATCTGCAAATGAATGCATTTCTGTAAGGCAATATGTTACCTTTAGTCTTCCATCTAGATTTAGCTCAGATTCTGTTGTTCAAGAAATTATTAGAACTTGGCTTGCTTGAGCTTATCAATGTGGTAACACAGTTTCAGTGCCGGTCCCAACTTCAGCCCCAGGTATTTCATGATCATATCGCTTTTCAGCAGTAACAAAGCATTGCCATCAATTTCCTGGTTTCAAAAGAGAGGAAGAGAATCAAAATGTGCTAACCCCCCCTTTAAGTGCTGTGTCCTGACACATTAAACAAGGTGAATTAGGAATGTCATTTAGGGTAGAGCTACCTGAAATGTCATGCATTTTGAAATTTCATTAAAAAAATTGAAATCTGAGGTGTGATAGAAGAAAGCTGTAAAGGAAGGTTTAATTAAATACTACTTTTTATTCTTGAAGGAACTATAAGATTAGTTGAGGTTTTCAATTTATTTTGCAATTAAAAGTAGAATTTTTTAAAAATCAGAGTTGCTCTAAGTGCAATTCTGAGAAAAACCAGTCAGCCTTGAGAGGAAAGTATGAGTGATGGAGACAGCAAAGGATGTAGCCACATTAAACTGCTAATAGAACACCTCCAGATCTCAGTTTCAGCTTTGTCCCCAGCTATCTGTGTGTTTCACATATCTCCAGGACACTTATACCCAGTGATGCGAGTATATGGTATACATGTGTGTGTGTGTGTATATATATATATATGTTTTCTTCTCAAATTGAAGACAGTAGTAACTTGCTTATTTAATTACATTTATTATTAAATTTGCTAAACTTTAATTCAACCCTCATGCAAGTGGAGGAAATTACCACCAAGCTCAGCTGTTTATCCCAGAACTGTTGGCTTGAAAACCTTTTGAAATGATGAAGTACTACTGCAAAAGTAGCCTGAGCCTACTGAGAAACAGACTGTCCTTTACTTTGGGCTGTAGAACACAGAAGCTTTCAGCTGTACTGTCCTTCCTTGGACCCAAAGCTTGTCTGGTTTTTCCCAACTGTATTAGTCAAAAAATACCACCTGTCCCCAGAGCTTCCAGCACATTTACACACACACCAATGCTGTCTACATTTTGTTCTACGGTTTTGATGGTCAGAGCTTTCCACTGTGATCCATTGCCTACTTATTAAGCAACACTATGGATCCTAATTTGCCCTGATCATTATTATTCCATTCACTAGGTGATTTATCTGATGAGCAGTTAAGGTCACTTTCTGATTAACTCAATCAATTAATGCTCCTCATTTTGCAGCCCCCTCTCTATCCATAATAGAAACTGTCTCCACCTCCCTCCTCTCTTTGCCATTATTTTAAGGAAGCTAATGTAAAGTAAGAATAAGTGTAATATATAATTACTATTTGCATAAGAAATAAAGTAAGAGCTCCTTTAACTGTGGTGCCATAGGATAAAAACACTGTCAAGGGTCAGGTGTGGAGGAAGCTGTTTCTAAATGTTGAATTCAGCATTTTATTATTTCCATTATTATTACTGTGTAGGGGTCAAGATTAAACTCCATGACAATAGTATGCCAGAGGGAGCATTCATATCCAATTAAATATCCCGTAGTAGCCATTTCCCTGTGCAGATTCTTGGCTTGACTTCTTTACAGTATTACTGTGTCAGCCTTTTTAAAAATAATCTTTGAAAAGAAGACTTTGATAACGTGCTTCCCACACATACATTAGCCCCAGCAGAAGGTCTTGGAGCAGGTCTGGAACTGGTAACATCCAGTGCCATCAGGGCCACCTTTCCCCTCCTCTGTTTCACTTCCCACTACCTTTCTACCAAGACTTTTCTGCTGATGGAGCCTCCACGGGATCTCACACAGTGCTGCTACAAGGTCTCTGGCCAGGGCAGTGGCTCCATTCTGTGAGACCAAAAGCTCTGTCAGTGATGAGCTCAGCTGTCCTTGGCACACAGAGGGAGCTGTGGGAGCAGGGAACAGCCCAGGGGAGCTGGTAGGTAGTTTCTCAGTCTTGGGTGGACATTCTCAGGAGCTACCTATGACAGAGCTCCTTGGATATCTTGGCAAGAAGCAAAGCTTCTGCTCCAGGTGGGAAGGGCAGGCAGAGCCAGAGCATCCTGCAGCGCCCTTTGGGGCAGTGAAGGATGTGGGCTGCAGGCTGGAAGAGCTGCAGGCTCTGAGGGCTGAGGTCAGCACCCAAATGGCCTGCTAGAGCAGTAGGAAAGCACACTGCCCACGTTCAGGATACATCCTCCAGCTGTTTTCTTCCTGCTGGTCCCAACAGCCTCTCTCTCCCAGCTCAGATGAGCTGATTGCCAAAGCAACTATTTCGGGCGATAGCTGGGCCTTGTCAATGACAGTAAGTGCTTCTAAGTAAATTATGCACCTGCTTCACAGAAAGATTGAACATACAGGAAGATATGGCTGAGGTTAATGGACTAATCACTTGTCTCTCACCCCTGGGGTCTTTGTGCTAATCCAGATGAGGTTTGAAGGCTGAAAAATTGCAGGGATATATATAACTCAAAGGTGTAATTGAATTGAGTTGTGTGGCAATCATACCCAGGTTCTCACACCTATGGCATATTTTACAAGGAAACCAATGATAAGTTGAGCCCATGGGTGCTGGGTGTGCAACAAAGGATGACAGGGACAGTCTTTAGTGGCAATTTAACTTGATCTCTTTGGCTGCAGAGCAGCTGCAGTACCATGGCATTCTCCAGCGCAGCTGGCCCATGACTGCCTGGAGTGTTCCCAGGCCCTGCTGCTACATAAAAGCATACTTTGCTACAAATGGAAACTAGACAAAATTGTGCTTTTGCACTCTCCATATTTACAAGACAAACTTTAGAAGTTGTTTTTTTTTTCCTTTGGGATATACCTATATGCCTTAGACCATGTCAATTCTCACTCACTTGTGTGAAAATGCACAGACCCTTCTGCTATTGTCAGAAACTCATTCTATAGCAAGTCCCTTCAGACCTAAAGGCGGCTTGTTTATCTGCCTGGTTGCCCACATGACCAATACTGGCCATGCTTTCACTACCAGCTTGTAAGGCAGAAGGCAGGAAAAGCAGGCCAACACCTCACCTGTACTTGCAGATTTGGCCCCACACCACTGTGCCTGCTGCTGTTCTCATCCCACAGAGCTGTCTACAGAATGGCAGATGGCCCCAATACCTTCCTACGGTGAGCAGACACCAAGGCCTGTGTTCATTTTCAGTTGCTCCTCAGTCACCTCCTCTCCTGTATTTAGAAACCCTGGAAGCTGTGTGTAGCTGGAAGTCCATCTATCTCCCCCAGCTCTCGTCTGCAGCTCCACAGTCCCACTGGTCTCTGCTGGCATAGGGGCAAGGAGTGATCAAGCCCTCTTGTTGTCTCTGCAACACTGGAGGTGCTGGTCAGGACTCAGGGCAGGGGAGAAATTCTCATTCAGACCTAGGTCCAGACACTTACACAAAAACTTTAGACCTCCAGCTGAACACAAACAAGTCACTTTTAGGGTAAAATACGTTTTTCATAGCCAGACTTAATTGATTAAGGAGACATGAAGAAGGCAAAAAATTCTAAGAGACACCATATATAGCAGCAGAACAAGAAACTCCAGATCAGAAAAGTTTATTTTCTTCTCATTTACTAATTAAAGATAATATAATTTCCATCACTGGAGGTTATCCTCACAAAATCAACAATCATATCCTCTAGGCAGTCAGCAGGTCTGTTAAATTTGGTTATGTAGTTACATAATACTGAGGAGGAAAAGATTAAAATGTTGGCTGTTTTGGGTTTCTCCTGGTAAATATCTAGAGACAAATAAAAAATGCTCTTCAGAGAAGAATCATATATATCCTGTGAAAAAAATTGTCATTGAAACGAGGCTTTTTTGTGCCAATCTGACAATGAAAAATGAGCACCAGATCCTCAGTGCTTTCTCTGAGGCTTGGCATAGGAACAATTTATGCTGGAGTAGCTGGGAACAAACAGTGAATATTTTCTAAAGACACTGTTATGGTTTTCCTATTGAAGAACAAATGAATAGAGTAACATAACATAGCACAAAGAAGGATGGAACAGAATAGAATGGAATGGAATGGAATGGAATGGAATAGAATAGAATAGAATAGAATAGAATAGAATAGAATAGAATAGAATAGAATAGAATAGAATAGAATAGAATAGAATAGAACTGTTTCAGTTGGAAGGCACCTACAATAATCTAGTCCAACTGCTAGAGGAATTCAGGGCTGACCAAATTACACTTATTTATTAGGGGGTTTTCCAAAAGCCCCTTTAACATCGACAAGCTTGGGGCATTGTTCACCTTTTCACAAAGCCCATCCTAGTGTTTAACTACCATCTCAAGAGATATGTAAAATTTCTCTAGCCCAAACCCTCCGGAGGTGCTGAATTCCTTGCCAGGTCCTGCATTCAACCTGGCTGAGGAAGCCCAAGGCATCTGAGGGTCTGTATGTGACATTTGCTGGCTGTCTCTTGTGACTTAAATTACCTAGAGGTGGTAAGGGTAGACTTCTACATACGTGTTTTCTGAAGAGTTCCACGTGAGGGCCTAAAGCCTGAGGATCTGCATCCTTCACAAACCAAACCACATCATCCACTGTCCAGGTCAAAGGATTCTTGCTTGATGGCCGAGCAGCATCTTGTCGTTCAGGTGAAGGACTTGAGGCTGTCAGTACAAAAAAGCCCACAACAGTGCATTACAATGGCACACAGAGATTTCCTCAGTTCGTGATTATGAGCGTGCAGGGCTTTGGCAGCCTCACTGCAGCACTGGACATTGGATCTGTGCATGCAAGTACCGGCCTGAGATGGCAGCATAAGGAAAAAAGGGGGACTCGCAGAAGTTTCCAATCTGACTGCTTGTTGGAAGACATGATCCCATCTGGTGAATTGTGTTAAAAAACATGAAACCCTTAGGTCCCTGCTGGAGAAGGAAAGATGTGCCAGCTGCCAGGCTCTTAAACCAAGCTGCCCCTGCTGTCTGATCTGCAGCAGCAGGGTTCTTGGATCAAGAAGACACTACCCTCACACCTGGAGAGAAAGTTCTTAGGTGCTAAAAAAAGTTTGCCGTTGAATGTGAAGGCTAGAGGATAAAATCAGGATTTAGCAAATAGGGTTTTTAATTTGCATTCAGATATTCATACTTGTTTTAGAGATCAGCAGAAGGTTTTCAGTCTGTATCTTCCTAATCTTAGTCTCTCACAAAGCTGATGGTCCCCAATGAATGCCAATTTGGAAAGTTACTAAAACATGGGAAGATGAACATGGCACATGTGACTTTTTAATGGTATAACCCCTCGATGATTTGAGGTGACTTCAGCTTGCTGTAGCTTTAAATCAAGTCAATAACATTGGAACGAAAAGTGCCTTTATGTTTTTATTCTTAGTCTCTGTAGAATTATAAATCTCAATCTCCACCTGAATATAATTTGTACCTCCGCTTATGCTGCTTCTTTATGACAAGATCTATATTATGCTAGGATACAGGAAAGCTGTTTCCATTTGTTTATATCCACACCAAGCAGACTATGTGTTAGCAGGCAGCAGCACACAGATACATTAAATGTGACTTGCTCACATCTGCTCATCTATTTCTGTCAAGGCCCAGTTTTTAATGAGAGAAGTGCTAATGGAAAGCAAGTATACACTACAGAAAACCAGAAATCAAACAGAAGAGTGCATGTAGATGGAGATCAAGACACCAAAGCTAGAGCCTAGAAATGCCCCAAGTAGCCAAGAAGCAATCAGAACTTCTGAGAAGAGAAGGGATTAGTTCTCCAGAGAAATAGTGAGCTTATAAAGGCATGTGAGAATCCTGACACATGACTCAAAATACGATCCTAGTGCACATGAATAAATGTGCTGGGTGGGTTTGGGGCTTATGTAGGTTGTCATTCCATTGACTTCAATAGAGCTCTGGTGATTTATATTAACTGAGACTCTGCCCATAGACACCCAGTAATGGGTTTGTGTGCATATTTGTCTTTTTTTCCTTGCCACCACGCTCATCTTACAGTATAATGTAATGAGGTGTGTTTGCAGTTACTCAGAATGGACTCCAGAAAGCAGCAGTGCTATGAATGTGCAAATCTAGTTGATGGTTTTCATAATGAGATGAGATGTAAATATCATGATAATTGCACTCTCATTTGCTAAGTCATTGTTCTGGATACAAAGGACAAGGAAGAGCTGCAGGTCCTTTTAATTAGACAGCGAAGACTGGTGCTTGTATGGACTCAGGTGACCCTGGGCTCCGCTCACAGAATAAATGCAATACACAACAGTACAGACACCATCTGGAGCCTTTGGCATGAAACAACGAAGACAGAGAGTGCAAAACAAACAGGGTAATCTTGGCCAACCCCTGGATCATCAATAACATTGAGGAACTCTGTCAGGGACAAGTGGGAGAACCGAGACATGTCTTGGAGACAGAGGGGAATTTTTCCCCTTCATGATCTGTCAATGGTTTGAATGAGCGCTGGTGTGTGGAGGTATCGGGCACTACACCATCTTAAACCAAAGGTCAGGAAAAAGAGCAGGCTTTTGCAAACTAGTCAGAAAATAGAGCAAGGAGAGAAAGGTTTGGCTGTGACCAAAAGACTGCTGAAGTTTCTCTGCTACTGTTGTAACATGGTCAGGGAGATGTGCCACTACTGAGGAGCACATATTTTTCCCTTAAATTTGTATAAATGTAAGGAAAGCCCAGAGGATTTAGCCTGGGATTTACACTGGGAACAGAAAGGGCAGCCTGCAGCCCACTGACTCCTGCCTGCAACCTGCCCAGGAAAGGGCAAAGGGGAGAAGAGAGCCCCAAGTGCAGCTGGGGGCCTTCACAGGTATTGGAAGTATCTGTAATAAAAGGAAGGGGGATGAGAAGAAAAGGTTGAAATGACAGGAAGAATCTATTCACTCTTTTGCTATCTAGCAATCAATAGCATAAATGTGATTTCTGAAAGACAAATATATAAATGACCTTTCTAAAGAGACTGCATGGCTAGAATTCTTACAGACCCTAGCAGGTGAAGATAACCCTTTCAAATCCATGCCTAAGGAATAGTATAATATCATAATATATAAACAAGAATTATATGTCAATACTAATTCTTAAAATAGCTTTTTTATTGTCTTTATTTACCTACCTAGTATCAAGTTTTGGATTCTCTGCTGCTTTTTAATGAATTAAGGTCTGTAAATTTACTTGCGTGAAAGGAGCTACCTTTAAATATTATTAAGAAAACTGAGATACCCTCAGTTTACAGCAAAATATCAGGTTTTAGCTGATGAATCTGGAAACAATCTGGTTTTCCATATATTTTATAATTTTTTTTATTAATTAATTTGGCTTTTTTACATTGTAGTTTACCCATCTGAGTGTAATTTCTCAATTTACAGAAGAAAGTAGATCATTTCATGTCTACACAAAGGCATGGGGTTTCTTTCAATAGCATCACTTTGGTGAAAGATTATATTAAGCACAAAAGTGTTTGATGGCAGCAGGGCAAGTACTATACATTTTTTTCATATCTGAAGGTATTCACACTTAACCTAAGAATTAGATAAATGAGGAAGTCTCATGTCTCCTGGGTATCCTATGCCATCCTGTCATCAGAATTAATCAAGATGATAATGAATACTCAGATTACAAAGAGATGGGAGTGCTTGCGACCAATAATTATTTTTAGAGATCATAATCTAGGTCAAATCCAATTTCCTGTTTTTGACAGGTGGCAAAAATTTGTCAAATTAATGGAATGGAATATGGAAATTTAGGTAATCAGAGGGAAGCACTTTCCCCTCTTGCCTCAAACGATATTGGGGAAGGACAGTAAAGAAGTTCCTCTGCAGGGCAATGTCTCCAGGCAGGCATCCCAGTCAAGACCATTGCCCACACAGAAACAGCTGGAATTATCAGGTCAGTGACAAAAGCTGAGTGAAGCTGAGGGAAAGAGGTGGCCTGGCTCAGTCTGAGTTTTCACTCCCACACTTTTCTCTGTCACTCATCTCTAACCTCTGGACCTTCCTGAGAAGAAGAATGGAGACAGAGCCAACAGCCAAATGGCTGCAGAGGCATGACAAGGAAATAAAATGCTAAAATGGAGTTAAACCTGCAAAAGAAGGAAAGACAAATAACAGACTCCCTAAATATGTTCTTGGCAAACAAACAGAGCCCAGAGGGAGTACAGTCATTGATAGATAAGAGTGGAAAGGGAGTGACAGATGAACTTTAATATTGCTGCAGGCCTAAATGATTTCTTTGCCTCAGGGGAAGGGGGTGGGAATGAAATTTTAAAAGGTTCTCTCTGATTGCACTGGAGCAGATAATAAGGAGCAGCAGATCTACTGAAACTAAGCAGAAGTAACAGACCCTCAAAGGTGCAGAGAAATGGGAATTATTTTAAAAAACAAACCACCCCCACTATAAACAGGGAAAGGAGGAAGACTTTAAGATAGTTTTCTAAAAATCTAGGGCACACCAAGCAGAAAAGGAAGAGATACATCAGACAAGCAGGCGTGTGGGAGAACACAATTACAAGATATTTAGGGTGGGGCAGGGTGTTGACAAGCCATGATCAGCAGAGAACTCTGCAAAGACGATCAGGCTCAGCACATCTGGCCGGCGCTGGCAGGACAGGTAGGGCAGCACCTGGCTGGTGTCCTCCACCTTGCAAGGTGTCACAGAAGAGTCCCTGTCCCAGCAGTGTGGCAGCTGCTCCCGCTGACAGCATGGCACACACTGTGCGGGGATGCAACATTGCAGGTGCTCCTCCGGCCGCTGCAGGAGCAGCCCAGCATCCAGCTGCATGAGACGTGGCCACGGACATTAAATATTTATCTGGGCTTTTCTTGCTTTGCCTCTCCTTTGTAGGGGAAACAAAAAGGCAGCTCGCTGGAAGCACTGAAACTTTCAGACTGAAATGTCCTCAAAAATTAGCAGGCAGGCTGTATTTGCTGAATACAGTGAGTGCTGAGGCTCACAATGCCATCAGCAGCTCCTTTGCCTCGGGGAGCTGCTGGATCTGCCCCCCATGAGCTGCTTGCAGCATTATTCTGGAAAAAGAGAATTTCAACCCCATGCCCCCAAATGTTTTCAGAAAATATATCTACTAATAAGCAGGACTGCCTCTTTAACAAAGACCCTCAGGTGATAATAATTAACTGCTAATACTGGATAATAAAATCTCCATAAAAATAACAAGCTACAGGGCAAGGTTAAGGTTATTATATTGTGGTTGAGCACACAATCCTTCATACTTGGGATAAAGGCTTTGTCTGTTATGTAAGCAGGCTTGGAAAGGTTTATGATGTCCTTGACTATTCCTTCCCTAATTTAAAAGCTTCAGTTTGGCAAATGATGACAGGAAAGTGCATGTTTTTCTGTTTGCAGCCCCAACTGGCTTTCTGAAATGAGATTTTTTTTTTTACATCTTTTTTTTCAGAATTTTTTAGCATAATCAAGGAGAATTAGGCATCAAGCTTCCGATCGCATTAATGAGAGCTTTGAGGTTTAATCTCATCCATTCCGCTTGAAAGACATGTTCTGCTATGCACTGAGATATGTTTTTTGATTATGGCTTTTTCCATGATATTTTCCCACCATGATAAATAAGGCAAGCTATTTTTCAAAACTATCCATAAATAAGCAGGATTGGTTTGAGGTTTCAGAGATAAATTCTTCCTCTTTTTAATGAGCCCATCTCTGCCTCATAAGTATACAAACCGAAGAGGATAAGAACAGAGACTGACATGCACCACTTACTCATCTTTGCTTACTTATGATTCAGCAACATATAAATTATGCCAAGAAAGAAGGAAAACACATGCACAGATTCCAAAGACCTTTCTTTGCTGGAGAGAATTTGTGAAGACGGTATTAAACCTCCAGCGTGGCTGCACAGGGAAATTGCAGAAATGTGTGTTTTAAAAGTCTGGGATTGCCAGTAGAAGTGGAAGCAACATGGTGGGTGAAAATATGATTTTCCTCTGTGGACTAATACAATCTCTAATTTTAAGGAGGAATGGGTAATGCTTTGTAGGACTCTGGTGAGAATTCCAGTATTACAGAGGTACACTAGGGAAATAGTGAACGAGATGAAACCAGGCTGTGACTGGAAACATCACAGTGTCTTAAAGCTTGAAGTGATATCGTAGTGAATGTGTGGGCACCTTGACTTCATGGATGTCTCTGTATTGCCCACCACAGCCACAGAAAACTGCCTGGCCTCAAAGGAACCAGCTTGTGCTGTGGTCTGTAGGAGACTGCTGGAGTCTCCAGAAAGCAGCTGAGAGGATTAGGGGGAGTGTGATGGATGGTGATGGCACAGACATTGGCTCCCGGTGGAGTACAGGGCATTGCTACAGGGGATTGTTAGGGACCTTGGCAGCAAAGCCTGTATAGGTTTGTGTGTGCTCTGTGGTAGACCCTGATCTACAATGGGTGATACTGATGGCTAATAAATGCCTGGAAAATTAGGAAAATGCCAACCATATCAATGAATCTATAACCATTTTAATGATGGTCACTGCACACATTTCTGTTTTAGGAAGCTTTTACTGTTGAACTGGCCAAATGACCCAGAGACCTCAGAGGAGCTAGGCTATGCAAGTGTAAAAATATTGTCACATGAAAATTACCAAGCTGTTTTGGGATGAGTTCTGTTAACTCCAGGTATTATATGTAGCAGTTTAAAGTAACTTGTGACTGCTTCTGAGGTACTCATGCCATGGTTGCCTGGTTCAAAAGCAGTATCTCCCTCTTTGCTCCTGAAAGTGCTTTTAATGGTTTTAAGCCAAAGAAATACAGGAATCTGTAAAGCCTGTTGCATGACCACTCCATTACTTTTTTTATTGATTCAGTTCTGGAAAAAAACATGAGCCATATTTCAGCCTTTCATTTTGTAAAGACTGTGAATTTTGTGGGAAGTCATGAAAAGAGAGATGGAGATGTCATCTGAAGCTTAGCTTCCTACTTGGAGGTTTCACAAAACATTGGCCAAGACTGGGAAACAGTGACATTCAAAGTCAAAAACACAGAGGGAAAACAATGCAGCTGAACAATCTTAAGAAGCTCTAATTTTAAGCTTCAGTCCCTTGAACATAATTTCTGTCCCCTGATACCGAGGGTTTTCTCCACACCACACGTTCTTATGTACAGAAGTTTTGTATATTCTGAAAAGGCACAAAGTATTCAGTAAGCCAAGTAAGACAATCCAGTAAGACAAGTGATTCAGAGAAGAAAAATCTGTGAAGGGTTACTAAGTAAGAATCTACAACCTCTGTAGATTCTGGCTTTGAGCCACGAATTTTGGAAGGCAGAGAGGGTAGTGGGGGTGCACCACTAAATATATAAAACTAACAATTACAGGGATAAATACTTGTAATACATATTTTGGAAGAATAATGGTCTAAAATATTGAATAGTGAAAGATCAGAAACAAGAAATAATACAAGTGTTGGGGAGGTGAGGAATGTGAAGGAATTAAACAAAGATTAAGCAAAGGGCACTGGAAAGAGGCTCTGGAATGTCTTCCAAGCAAGAATATGCAGAATCAATTGAAGTTTCCAAGGGAAATGCAAGGGCAAAAAGACAGTGTAATGAGCTAATGGTAGACAAAGGGGCTAGGGAAACCAGTAATCTTCTGCAAATATATCAAGATTTAAAAAAAATTAGTACTAGAGTGGCAGTAGGTTCCATTAATAAATGAGGAAGGAAAAAAATTAATGACATTAAAATGGCTGAGACATTCAACTCCTTTGTTAGATCTATCGTCAGAATGAAATATGCAGACATGAAGTTTGAATAATTAGAAAGGGGTGAAGACGCTGTTGGCATCACTGCTGATAAAGACCTGTTGACTGAGAATTTGGAACATTCAAATGAAGTTAACTGAAGTTCAGTGAAACAGCTAACTCGTCTGATGAACATGGGTAATTTCTAGAAGGAAAAAAATCATGGCCAATAGGAACTGTAGTGGAAGAGTAGAGCAACTGCCCCAGCAAGTGGTAACTGAACAAAAACACAAAGAAAGGGAAGAAGAATCATTGAATGCAGTGATTCCCATGGCATTTCTTGAATTCTTGAATTCTTGATAAACTTCTTGTGACTTTGCTTCCTGAAGAATAAAAGAGCCTTGAGCAGTGAGCTGAATGATTTTAAAAAACCCTATATTTTGTTGGGAAGTCTTTTTCAAGCAAAATCTGGCTTGGTATGTAATTAAAGGGGCAGAATGGGCACACAGCTAGAAAGCAAAACCTCCGGCTAAAATGCTTTAAGGTAGGCACTAATATTTGGGTTTGCTCTGCGTCACGTCTTGTACACAGCTGGTGTCACACAAATACCAGGTACCTGCCTGTAGGCAGTATAAATCTTTGGGAGGAATGCCTCATATATTAATGTCTACACGTCTGAGCTGATAAAAACAGGTGTGATTGCCACACAATTATAGGTAATAGATATGTTTACATAACAACGGCATTAGAAAACATTCACCTTTTTACTTAATGGTGAGCAGACTGGTTTTTTGTTTACACAGGTTATTATTTCCCCCTCTAAGTGGAAGCAGGAGTGGTCTGGATGGATTCCATCACAGAACCACCTTACTAATTTTCTTGGGAATTTGGGAATGAGTTAGGACTCCTGCACAGCGCCAGCATAGCAGCACATATTGCAAAATGGGAGGTGTTAACATTACCACTTCTGTTTCCTTCAAGATAGGCCCCATTCCCTGTTGGGCTGGAGGTCTGATGCCGCAGACCAGTAGATGAGGACCCCCCTGCAGACATCTGGGCAGGACGATGGCTACAGGAGGAAGAGGAGCCCCCGGCAGGGTGTCCATCTGCAGGACTCTGACGCACGGTGTACATGGAGCCCATGGAACCCAAGGCAGCGTCGGCAGGATCCACACTGTACTGCTTCCTGTTCGGGGCATCAGCCAGGTAGTCCTCAGGTACAACTGTCTCTGCTCAGGAAGCCCAAACACAAAATAAACATCAGTAAAACAGAAGCTTTCTTAATCAACCCTTGAAAAAAAAAATATTTTTTTGGCCAAAGTTCCCTTTTTTTTTTTTGTCACAAAGTGTAACTCTGTTTTCAACTTTCTGTACAGACAGCTGGCCCAGGAGAGATCCTTGATGAGAACTAATAAACGGTGAAGGGAAACACAACCACTCAAAGTCAGTAGAGTCACAAGAGGGAAACTGTCTTGGTATGAGTCATTGGTGACAGCTTACAATATAATTCTCTGTAAAGTCCTGGGCCACTGGCTGGCAGGCCCAATTTGCCTCATGGTGCTTCCCCCAATACACCGAGGCTAGAGGATTGAAAGGAAGGAGGCAGAGGAGGACAACAGGACAGGCAGTTTGTTAAGTTCAAAATGCCTGGCAGCCAGTAGGAAGGAACAAAGGTAATAAACCAAAGCATTCTGGCTGCAAATACCAAAATTAATCAGAAGCATCCTCAGCTGCAGACATCCATCAGGCCCGGTATCCCACAAGGATACAGGCTTGATGACTGATGAGCACACCCAAGGTTTATCATGGACAGTTCTGTGTTATGTGTGAGTCACTTGGACCTAACTCAGGTTCAAGCGTGCCAACATCACAGACAACTGCAAACCATTGCTACGGTTCCTGTCCTCTCCACTGCAATTTTCATGCTGTGTAGGAGCTAAATACTTTGCTTTTCAGATTCCTGGCAATAAACCAAATTTTGACTTCAAGACCTACTCTGGAGGTCTCTCCATGCTCCCCTATGCTTGAGGGTCTCGTGCACAGGCATGAGGGAGGACTAGCTCCAGGCTTGCAGTATGCAGATTTTTTTTGCCATTTCCCCTTAGACTTAAGCTCAGGTTTGTCGCTGTCTGAACTAACACTTCCATGCCCGTGTCACTGTCTTCCTCCTCCGGTCTCCTCATATCCAAGTCTTTCTTATTTGCCTTTTTTTGTCTTTTTGTCTTTTTTGCCAAAGATGGCCACAGGTCTTCTTTCTCCTTTTTCCCACTGCCATTCTCCCTGCAAAAGCAGCTGTCCTGTCACCCAGCCCCAGTATCACTACTGGGATACAAGCAGAGCCCTTGGAAACCTCCATGAGATCCCAACCTTCACAGAACCCTGCTGGCAACTCTGCACTTCCCACTCCCACTGGATGTTAACACCTGGCAGGCAGGAAGCCTCTAGATTAGGGGAAGTGTCTTCCATTGCCCCATGACATTGTTCTGTGCTGTTGAAAAGGCCACTTTCCTCATCATGTGTACTCTCCCCCCAGAGACATCTGAGCAGGGTGAAATTTCCCCCATGGTGTCACACATCAACTTCCTGGCCAAAGCAACACTCTCCTCCTGATGTATTATGCAGCCTTATTGAGTAACAAGAAAAAATTATGTTGTAATTTAAGCCATAAGACACAAACTCCATTGCTAATAGATTTTGAGGCTCTATATAACAGACTATTCCTTTCAATTTACATTTTCACTTCTTTCCTTAAAAAAAAAAAGCAAACATTACTTGACAGCTGTCTACAGTAGTTGATGTTAAATGGACATGATTTATTTCGACAACTCAAATACTCAGGAGTTGTGCCATGCCATCATCTTGGCTTGTGTGTCAGGCCACAGCACAGATTTTCGTTACCTTGTTCTATTTTATTGCTTCTGTCTTTTAAAATTCTGTCCCATTCTGGGCCAAGGCTGGACTCACCATAAGGCAAACATCAGATTTGAAGGAAAGCTGCAAATGTGAAAATTCCTCGCTTTTGGGAATTTGCCTTTGCAGCTACAAGTAACTTTTCTTTAGAAAGGTTTTTTTTGCTTAGATGATTTGGATTCTTACAGCATGCATTCAGGTGCCCTGCTGCTTTCTGCCAGGGATTTCTGAGCTTGATTCTCATACAAATACAGATAGGGTGAAATTCAATTGAATTCAAGGGAGTTCAGATAACGTAACACATAAGAGAAATGGGAATCAGACACTGAACCTTTCTCCATAACCTCTAACAGATGCCAAAATTATAAAGCAATTGAGCTAAATACCTTGCTTTTCAAACTCCTCCCAAATAAACCAAAGAAAATCCAATCAAGCCTCCTCATTCAAAGGAATTTAATTACTGTGTAGAACACTTGCAATAAAAGCCTCTTATGCATAAAGAAGATGGCTCTTCCTGCAGCATCCTGCCTGCACTGCATGGAATAATTATGCCTCTTGTGAATCATTACCTCTTTATTCCAGGAAAAGAATGCTCTTTTAATATGATTACAATATGAAGAAGACATAGACTATCAAAACAACAAACAGCACATTAAAAGAGCCCTGCTAAATAAACAGCATACAGCTTTTATTGCCATGGATGTAAATTACTTCAAAATTTTTGAGCAGACACCAAGGATTTTTTGATGGATGTCAGACTGTCTCAACAGTCTGTGTGAAATAAGGCAGATATATGTATAGATATAATCTCCCTGTGGAAGGACACCCATGAACTATGTACAAGACTACAAGAAGGAGTCAATCTTCCTAACTTTGACTAGGACTCTTTTCTTGATCTAGATCAATTTATTCTACATCTCTGCTTTGGACTCTAAAATGGGAGTAATGATGCCTATTGCCATGGAACAAGCTGGAGCCTCCATTCATTACTGTATGAAACATTCCCCAGGGGAATGTGCTCTGGGAATTTTAAAAGTAATTTTAATGTCTTCATTAGACCAGGAGGAGCAGGGATCATCTCAAGTGTCCCACTGTCCAAAAACTAAAAAACCCTGTGGAAGCTCTTTGTGTTCCTATTTTTCCAGGGTTTTTTTAGTTTGTAGCACAGAGAAGCTGCATGAATTGAGGTTCTAGTGATGATGTGCATGAAAATATCTGCATTTTGTAAGCACCCAGAAGGCGTTGTAAAGTGTGTGGCCATCACAGCTTCTAATCCCACTTTGGCCAATTAGGAAAAAACCCCATATTTTCTCAGACAATAGAAGAAAATGTAAGTCTCTATTGGGGTTGAAAATGCAACACTTCATCAATCTGTAGCTTAGCCCTTCTGTATTCTGACTTGCTTTCATATTTTGTTTTGTAGGGAGTCAGTTCCACATATTAGTGAGAAACTAGTACACACTGCTTTAAAGCAGGATTTATGAGAAAGGTTCTTCGAGCTTTTGCTCTGAGCACAGTAGTCTCTGTTACAAGTGCTCACCACCCTGCTTAAATGCTTAAGCCATTTTGGCATAGTTTTCCTTTACATGAATGGTCCACAGGCAACTGGATTGAAAAGCCCAAGGCTGTTGCACCCAGCACACCTTAAAATTCCACAAAGAAGGAGAGAAAAAAGCCACAATTGCCTTCACAATTTAAACATGCGCATTTCTTTAGCTGAGCTTCTTGAAAGTAAGCCTTTAAGATTCCTGAATCTGCAGGTGACATCCCAGCTGTGCTGCAAACCTCTGGTGTGACCTTGGTCAGGTTATCTGTCATCTCTGGACCTCAGTTCTCCATTAGGATGAAGGAAAAGACTTTGTTTTGTCTCTCACTCCTGCAATACATCGAGTTCTTTGCCCCAGCAGTACCCATTTGCTGCTGTGAAGTGCCACACAGATGCATACTGCACGTGTGAATGCAGAACAAAAACACTGGGCCTTTGGTGGCATCTGGGAATAGAGACTCCAGAAAGACAAAAGAATTGGCTCTCATTGTACATTAGGAAAGCAAATGAAAATCAGTTTCAAGTCAAGCAGGAAATGAAGAATAGTATATACACAGGAAAGATGATCCCTAGCTGACCTTTTCCTGAGCAGATCTAATCACTTACTTTTTCTTCTACATCTTAAAAAAAAGCCCAAACTTTGTTAGTATCTCTTCTAAAGGCAAAATCTCCTTGTACACTCCAGAGACACTCTATTTTGCCTTCTCTTCTCCCAGGCCAAACAAGTCTTGTGCCACTTTCCTCACCTGCTGCTGCTCCTACATCACTGCTCATGTTACATCTTTCTTTCCCTCTCTCAAGCTCCATTCCCTTATACCCCTCACATGCTTCTCCCTCTGTTCTTCCCTGTCACCTCTTCCTACTTCTCTTCTGTCTTATTACCACTATCTCGACCTTGCTCTAACTCCACTTTCCTGCACCTATATCACCCTTTTTCCATTTTGCCAGTTATTTCCCTATCTCTCTTTTCTATTTTCTCTCCTCCCACCCTATGATTTTCATAACCATTTTCTCCCCAGCCTGCTTCCCTTCCACCCATCTCACACTTTCACTGATCCAACCCATGCATTTTTCTGGGTTCATCCCCCGATTGCTGCTTGGACAGCAGAGCCTGAGGTCAGGGCAGTGAAGTGGGACCAGAATCCCTTTTCCCAGTTAACAGGCCGTTTCCTGCACAGCCATGAAGTGACTCCATCTGGGTAAAGGCTGCATGGGGCATTGCAGGCCACCCTCTGCTCTGAACATGCTGGACACTTATCCCCAAGACAAGGAGTTTCTCTTTTACACATCAATAGCTTCCCAGGACAGCTGCCCTCCCTTCTAGGACAATATTTTAATGTCATTTCATAACCTTTTACTTTACCACCTGCAATGCTCAATCATTTGTATTTGCTTTAATTAAATTCCCCATTAACTTCTTTTCCTCACAGTCAATACAGATTTATTTCTGTCTTTCTTTTCTCTGCCCCCACTATTCCTTTTTTGTGTCGTCTCCTATTCCTCATATCATTTAGTGATGGGCTTTGCCCTCTGACCCTTTCCTGTACCTTTTAAAGTGCTACCATATATTGTCTATAATGGGTTGACCAGATGTGAACTCCATATTTTAAGCAGCATGATATCATAGCTTCCTCAGACCTCTCCTTTCTCCCAGCCAGGGACAGCCTTTTTTCATCTCCCAGTCATTTTGAGAGGAGCCAGCCATAGTGTCAAAATCCTATCGAGAGGCTCCTCCTTTGTATAGCTTTATCTCTGCCTGTATTTATAGCTCCT